TTTGTCCTCTATGATGTCTCCTGATCTTCAAGATGAATCTGTTTATCATCTGTGAGTCTTGAAAGAAAGAGTGAGCAATCACTGGGTCATTTAGTAAATGGAAGCAGAGAACAGAGCAGCGCGTTCGGAGTGTTAATGTGGATCTTACAGTAGGGCCGCACATTCATCTAACAGGCATATAATCTCACTCCGCTCTTCAGCTGCAGGCTGATTGGCCTCTTCATCTCTCTAGTCACAGTTTGTGTCTTTAACTCCATTCAATTTCTCCTTTTCCTCCTCCCCTCCTCTGTCATCCCATCTATTCCCTTAAGACAACTACATTTTATTGCATAGCGATTATTTCATAGCCTAGAGGTGTTTTCGCATCAGTTTGCACGGTTGTTAATTGTTTACTAATTGTTTTTTTTAATCATTTTCAAGTCAACATGCTAAATGAACATATTTGACCATTGCAACGTCTTTTATGGTGTGAGTTGTACAGCATCTCGCACCATAAGCACTCTATTTTTAGGATGCTTTAAAGGAATAGTTCACCCAAAAATGAAACTTTCGTCATCATTTATGCCCAGGGAGTTAACTTCAGGAATTAATGATCACCAGCCAGATAATCAACGAAGGACTTCCAAATCTTTAAAAATGTCTTTGGTTTACCTGCTAATTCGTATCTAATCTTTTCCATATATAACACATTATTAAACTCTGTAGGCCACATTTCAAATTTAGGCATAAATTCTTTGTTCCACAGCAGCAGAATTGTCTTCTTTGCTACTGTCATCCCGTATTGAACTGTCGGAACTTGGTTACGACTGTAAGGCTCCAGAGAAGGAGCCCAACCAAATATTGCAACAAGGGGATCAAAGAGAAGGCCAGTCATACATTTTGGTCTGAAGTGTTTGGCTTTTACTCTAAGTAAAATCCAAACACTTCAGACCAAAATGCATGTATTTTAGGGCAAAACCAGAATGAATGAGCTAAGGTACCCTCATTGGACTTACATTTGTTAAACAGAGGAGACACAGAGTGATATATAGAATGTAACTTAGTGCGAGAATAGTGTAATCTATGCACAACTTTGTACTGAATAAGTTGAAAATTAGAGCTAATGGAGCACGAGCTAATGGCTAGGAGAGCCTCGGTCCAGGCATCCTCTGAGATCCTTTTCCCAGGACATCTTCAAATATTGTGTAGAAGGGGCCCTGGAGTCATTAAAATATTCAACAGACTTAGAAACAATGCCCTTCATGTTGAGGTCAGAGGTCATGCATAAATAAAGATGTTCAGGGGACTGGTAAGATTCAAAATTAGGGATATTACTTTTAACATAATTCCGTACTTGTAAATATCTGAAAAAATGAGCCAAACTTTTGACTGAGCTGAGCAAATGGAGGTAATATATTGTTAATATACTGTTAATCATGGGCGAGTGAATGTGAATATGTAGATTTACTATAGCAAAACTAAAATGTGTTTAAAAGTACGTCTGACCAAATCCACCGGTTCGGTTTGGCCCCCCCAAACTCAAACGTCAAGCTACGCCTATGCTGTTAATACTGTAATATTAACAGTATTACTGTTTATAATAATAATACTGTTTTCCCATTAGGAAAGTTTTGTATAGCTGTGAAAACTTTTTCTAATGTAATGTCAGAATTTAAGATCTCTCGTGCATCGTCACTAATTTTAGGTAGACCAACAGAGCGAAGGAATTTGGTAATATTCAACAAGTCTCCACTAGACTGAGATGAATATAATTCCTCATAGAATTCCCTGAATGCATTATTTATTTCTATTGGCTTAGAAGTCAATATCCCAGATTTTGTCTTAATGACCTGTATAGCTCTACTGGCTTGTGCACACCTAAGTTGGCGAGCTAATAAGTGATTAGGTTTGTCCCCTAATTCAAATTGCTTCTGTTTAATCTTTAACAAAAGGGAGCTAATTTAGGTAGATAAAAGAGTATTATATTCATATTTCAATTTCGGAATACTAGCCAGAGTTAACTTGGATGGTGTTAGTTTAAACTGCTGTTCTAGACCTGACAATTCTGTCTGTATTTCCGAAAGCCTTTTGCCCCATCGCTTTTTTAAATCTGCTTGACATGCTATAACCTGGCCTCTAATATAAGCTTTAAAGGAACATGCCACTATTTTTGAAAATAGGCTCATTTTCCA